AAATAATGCATATATGAACCATATATAGGAATGCTCTGAACTTCCATATCAATGTTTTTTGCACCATGTCTTTTCTCCCACACTGTTTACATTTGATCACTGCTGCAATTTATAGAATGGAAATGTTCTAAAAACGAAATTTAGTTTTGTATACACTCTGCGGATACAAAATGACAATAAATAAATAAAGTCATATTGACCCTTTATTCAAATAAAATATTTTAAATACTGTGTTCAAATGTGTTTGAATTTGATTACAAATTTATTTGGAAAAATTTAATTAATGATTTAATCCTAGACCAAAACAAGAATTTCAAATATCATGTAAAACTATAACATTTAGAGTAACATTAATAACATTATTCCAGTTCTGCTATTCAAGCATTATTTACAGCAATATGATCCACTAAAGTATTACATTTTTTTTTTCTAACACATGCACAGTCAAAATTAACATAAAACAATAATTAATGACTTCATGACCCAATGGTTGGTCCTGTGATGAACTGGTGAGCTGTCCAGGTGGGCCTCCTCCTCTGGCCTGCTGACGGCTGCAGACAGACACCAGTTCCTGCTGTAACCTTGAAGTTTCATTGGATTGACGGATGAAAAACGGAGAACCTTTAACTGTGGAATAGACCTCCTCATTGTCTCATTGAGGTTCATGATGCCTGAACCTCCATCACTCTGTTGACATCATCTGCTTCATCTGTGTCCTGTGGAAATTAGCCAATGAAGAATTATTGTCAGACTAATTTCTCTTTAGTCTCTCTGGTTTTCCTCTCAATCTCCTCAATAAAGATTTAAACACTATGTTACAAACAGCAGCAGTGAATCAGCTCCTGTGGACATTAAACAATCAAGAAATATGTTGATGTTGCTCCTTTGACTGACGGTTAAAATTTAGAAAGTTTCTGAAGGACATTTCTTTCATTACTCAGCCCACTTTACAGCAGCATCATTTTAAGGTTGTCTTCAAGGCAAATATCAGGTTTAACAACCATACATTAAAATTATTGCTTCAGGAAATCAGACATTATATTTGCTTTGCTAAGTATGAAAAACTGGCTTTAAACATCAGCGTAACTTTAAATGTATGAATAAAATTAAAATAAAAGTCTCCAAATTCTGTCACAGGGATTTTAAATAATTTTCATACACTGAATATAAACAAGCTTACCTTCTTCTCTTGTTTGATGGATAATCTAAACCAGCTGAAAGAATAAAAATAACGTGAACAAACATGTAGCAGAGACCAGCAGGTCTGCAGCTCAAAGAATCAACTCATAGTAAAATGAGTCTCACCTCTGAAAGATGCAGACTGCACTGCAGAGCATTATGATCCCCAGGATCTTCAATATAACACAGAGACTGACTCCTGGCACTGGATTAAAGAAATGTTTGATAGATGTAGGATTTTTATGCAAAGAATAAAAATAGAACATTGAGAGAAAAACTGAGACTCACTTGTAATATTTTTAGCTTAAAATATTTAACATTTGAATGATTCAACGACTCAACTTTTGAACTGCTTTCAAAATTTAACACAAAAGGCCCTTAGATTAGATACCTTTAACTTTGTAATCATATAAATGTGGATTCATTAAAAACCAAGAGTTACAATTTACCTTCAGTATTAAGTAGAATCACAGCTGATCT